TGACGCAGGAAATCCCTCTGAACTCTGAATTTTATGCTTTTTTATTCTCTCATCTTAGCCAGCTTACTGGAGATTAGTGTCTTAGTTGTGATTCATGGGCTGTTTGGAACAAAATACCAGACATGGCGTATGCAAACTGCAGTTCTTAAACAGCATTGTAGCATAGAGAACCAGGTAGAAACATCAGTGTCTGGAAAGAATAAGTGGCACTTGGCTTATCTGGCAACACTAGGTTGCTCCTATAAAAAGATCTGCTTCCGTGTGTCACTGCTGAATTTACGGTGTTGTCAATGTATGGCATTGGAGAGCAAGGTCCAGTTGGCAGCAACCATCTTGCTGCACGTCCCTCCCCTGCCTCTCCTTCTACCTTCTCCGCCCGCCCTCATGCTTTGAAGTAGTACGCTTACATCTTGGGGCAACTCCTAAGTCATGGTTTTACTCGAAAGTTGTGAGATCTGTCAAAAGCAAGTGCCACCCTTGAAATGATTCTGTTGTCCACAGTTATCTTTAGTGATAAAAAAAGGAGCTGTTGACATTTTGATTGCTTCAGAAAATACTATGCTGTGCTACAGCAATAGCACCGGTAATAAAAGTTCAAGTGAAAATTCTTGCTATCACTGTAGGAAGATAACAAAGGCATGACAGCACATTATCCTGTGGTCACTGATAAGATGAAACAGTCCACCGTGCTTGGCTCTTGTTCTTGGTGAGCCATTCTACAACTGATACTGTGCTGCTTCACTACTCAGTCATTGTACCTCCTATGTATCTTCAGTTATCAAAGAGTAATATCTGAATTCTTCACCCATATTTAACTAGAAGTGCTGGGATGAAATATTCCCATGTGAATGACATTTTGTGTCCTTCTTTAAGTATGGGCTTTACTCAACAGGAACCCTCAAAAGAACAAGTGCCCTTAATTGCACCGTTTTAAAACAAAACACTTAGCCTCTGTGTTTCTGATGGGTTGGCCATGCTGATTACGGTGTCCTTTAAACAGTCCTGGGGTTGTTTTGAAACATCTACAAGATGACACACTGCAGTAATTCATTAAGAGCAAGATGAATATTGGCAACATCTTTTCAGTGACCTTTTAAAATGGCTAAGTGAGAAGTAGCTTGCACTTGTGATTCTACTGGAGTAAAAACTGGCATGATTTTCCTTATAAGTACCCTGGCAGCAACAAAATGCAATTTGGTCTCAGAACCTGCCACCCTGGCCTCTGTGGTGTTGAGCAGAGAAAGTCATCTGTAAGCAGAGCTTTGAGGAAAACGATTTAAGCTTTCATTGCTTGCCTTTGGGCTGCTCTTTGCTCGTACTTGTCTGCCATGCAAGAGGTGTTTCTGAGCAAGGTTAAGTGTTTGTGTGTTTGTTTCTCTTTCCATAGCTTCTTAGGCATATGTATGAGTAAACTTGTCATCTTCTGTTTGGGACCATTCTTCTGATGTGACATTTGCTATACGTGGAGCCAGAGATGATGAATAAGGAAACAGTTCATCTTCTGTGTCGTCATGATTCGTTCTGTTTGTGGTCCAATACTGTACTTGGTTCCATTAGTGTAATCCTGAAATACTACTCAGAATTATTTTGAATTATTTGGAGATTTCATGGTTCTCTAATTTTAGAGAGGGTTTTAGTTTACATTAAAATTTTTGCATGCCCCAAGGCTCTCCTTTTATTTTGGTAGTACAGAGAAAGTTTGAAAGAATTGTCATCAATGTAAACCAAAAAACAGCTCAGGCGACTAAATGCATGCCTTTTGCTATTCCATTATTCATTAACTACTCTGTTATTCCTCTCTCCACCTTCTCACGAGCACCTCCCCTCTCCCCCCCAAAAAAACCACGAAGGAAACAAGCACACCACGATAAAAATGCTAATAAAGAGAATAATTCCCAATAGACCATAAAAGACAGCATTTATAACCCTGATAGAAATGCCAGTCAGCTTTTTTTTGATGTAAAGCATCTGTCTCCGAAAGGAAATGAAGGCAGGCCTGTTTCTCCTTTCCAGTCTCTGAAGTAGTAGGTGGTGTCATTTGTTAGACAGTGCTACAAGTCCCATGTTATTGCACTGGTAGCTGCCGACTGCCTTTGTTAACGTACTGAAAAGTTTTATCAGCTGTCTTTAATAAGAAGAAAAACTGTAGCAAATGTCTCTCTCTCTCTTGTCCTCAGACCATCATTTAGAGCTGTCAGAGAGCGATGGCACTCATGTAAAATCTTGCAGTCACCCAAAATTTTTGTGACTGTTACAATAAACCATAGATATTGGGGTGGTTGATACCCTAGAAAGTTAGGGAGCAGTCTTTCCAAAATCCTGTGCACTTGCTCATTTGAAACATGAAGGAGTGAACTTTCAGCACTACCTGAAACGTGTTATCGGTTCACAATTTCGATGGAGACATTTGTTTAGAGCATTAATGGCCTAAAATTTGTTGGGTCTCCAGGAAATCAGGAATGATGTGTAGAAGTTGGAAAATCTCAAGTTCAGGTAAAACGCATGCAGTTTGTTCTTTTTCTGGATGTTTTTGTTGTTTGCTCTTGTGAAATGATATATCAAATTAAAGACATGATGGCAGAAGAGTTTTCTTAGCTAGGCGTATAGTCTTATATCTATGATGTTCTTTAGAGTACTTGATTAGTACCATATATGCTATATTTTCAGGGGCATGTGAAGGAAATGGAGAGGGATTCTGGGAACCATATGAGACAACTCTGTTACTTCCCACACAATAAGTTTGTGGATGCTGTGGAATTAGCCCTGAGCACATTTTAACGTGTGTCTTATTTAATATGAGTGTTTCTAAGTTTAAGGTTTTTTAATCCTTATCCATTGTAAGCTTTGTCTAGATGCAAACGTACACACATAGTTATATTTCAAGTGAGAAGACGGTTCTGTGTCAATAACTGTGCTCTTGAAAAAAACTGTTTGATTCATAAACTCTCATTAGACAAATAAGGAGCATGATTAGTGGGAATGGACCATCCTACTCATGATATGAGAAAATTCTCTTAAACAATCTTGTCTAAAAATAAATGAATAAATAAAATATGTAGATATTTAGACAGTCATCCATATACAGTAGAGCTGTTTTCTGATCATTCTTCACTTAGATCACTTCAATTAGCACCCAGAACATCTGTAATCAAGGAGTATGTTCGTCCATTATAAAACAGTATGCAAGATTGGCACTGCGACGGTGGAACTGTGGTAGTGTGGCTGCCAATATGTGTTGTCCATAGCAAAGGTTACATTTCAGGGGCTTAGATTTCCTTATCTGTACAGAATATGACTGAAGAGGGAATTTTGGAGAGTATTTAACTGGGAAAATGTTATAAAATCCAGCTGGGTTTGGGTTTTTTTTTCTATTTTTAGTAGAACGAAGTAGCTGATTTAAGGGTGGTGGAAATAGTCTGTCGGGGTAAAGCAAGAAAAATTAAATCTAAAAATAACATCTTCAGATTCCACTGCATTAGCATTATGATATTTACAATAGGGAGGGCTAAACTCATTTTATTTTGCTTAATCTTGAAACTCCATTAGCCAGTTCCTCTGAAAATTTGATCTGTTGCAGTTCTGAATGAGTTTTTGTGATGCATGTGTTAATAGGTGAAAAGAAGCAAGAAGAAAGCTGAAAAAATATGAAATATTTGTAGGATATAAAACTACAGAATTTTCTGAACATTTTCACCACAAAATTTAGGTTTTGGACACAAGAATTATGGGGTTTTTTTTAAAGCTTGATTCAGAAGGATAAGAGTAACGAGTTTCATTTGCTAGTGGAGAGTTTCGGAACATAAGTAAGTCTTCCTCATCCTAGTGACTTCCTATTACCACATCAGTCTGGGAGACCAACTCTAGTGCATATTTTACTGGCCTTCTGCCTACCATATTTTCCTGAAGTTATTGTCACTGAAGGGCTTCTAAAGCATACCAGCACCCCCACACAGTAGTCTGAAGCTGAGTTTCCATGTGGCTTCAGATTTTGAGTATTGCATTTTGATCAGAACACTGGTGAGTGATGGCTTGAAACACTTATCCTTTGAGGAAAAACTACATGACTTCAAAAGTGAGTGTTCCTAAAGCTCCTTGGAAACAGTAGTTACCTGAGGGGGAAAACCACAGAACTTTATGTAGTATTTTTTCCCCTTTTTCTTTGAAATGCAAGGTACTGGTTTGGCAAATTAGACTGTTCTCTTCAGCTTCATAAATCCGCTTTTCTGCCCTTGTAATATTTGTTAACTCCAGTAACCAGGCATGTTTAATTATCATGAACTACCTATTATTTCATAATGGAATAATCTGAAGATGAAAAAATTAAAAACAAGAAACATTTTTATCTTAGATAAAGATGGAAAAATTGTTAGTAATGTAAGAAGCTTTTTAGTGGATTTGTTACAAAACTTTCACATCTTTGGTATTAAAATAGCATGTGTTTCCACCACTGTTTATTTTATTCAGTCATTCATTAAGAAATAATTGCCACAGCCTCAATATAAATGGATATCCTAGGACCCCTGAACATCCTTAGGATCTGAGAACAGATTGTATTTTCTACTAGTTTTAATTATGACAAAGAGAAAAAAGGGATGAGTTCCAATCTGTTAACTATTCCCAATGATTATAAACTCTTTATTGGCAATGGGTTGAATTAAAATTAAATTCCTGTCTTTAATCCATTCTTGGATTACTTTAATTTTCTCTTGGAAACTGTGCTATGCCGACATTACCACATGTAAAGCTTTGAGTTCTGTGTTTTCTCATTAAAGGGAGAGATCTGTGTCTGTAGACACCAGAGCCTGCCCTGTTTAAAGCAAAAAGTGTACAGCAGCTGTTCAGAAACTTTTTCTTGTTATCTCTATTAACTTAAATTGCTAAATTGCTTCCGTGAAAAGTCTGCAAACATAAGGGAATAATTTGTTTAAGTGGAAGAAGATTGTCTGAAAAGAAAAATTGAAAATATTCCTAATATTTCTCCTCTTTTTTTTTTGTACCAGTATCCAGCTGCCCTGATGAATCTTGGAGCCATTCTCCATCTGAATGGTAAACTGAAAGAGGCTGAAGAAAACTACCTCCTTGCTCTTCAACTTAAACCTGATGATGTCATCACTCAGTCCAATCTTCGCAAATTGTGGAATATCATGGAGAAACAAGGTTTGAAGACATCCAAAACATGATGAAAACTCTGAACTTTTTTTCTTAAATTGATTAAAACTATGAACTAGAACTTCCACACAGTTGTCCAATCAGAGAACTCATTGGACTTGACTGCAAGGAGCAGAGGTCTTAATTGCTGCTAGGAGAAGCTTTTCTGCTTTATTGGCGTAAGGTTTTTTGCTAGATAAATAGAAAAAGGGAGACTTTGAGATATTCATGAAGGACTTGTTACCCCACAAAAATATTTAGAAACATAACACTTGAGAGAAGGTGTTTTCACATATTTGATAAATCATTGCAAATCCCATATTGCTCACTTTTGGGTGGGTACTTGAAATGTATACTGTCATAGAGATACTAAGGGAAAATTGTACAGTATACACTAAGCCATATGGGAGTAAAAGTGATAATAGTAGGTTAAAGTATTTTGCTGATACTGTAACTCATTAAAATGTGTACTAAATCCAGCGTGTTTGCAGTTTGTCTTAATGCTGCTGTATCTCACTTTAGGACCGCTTGCTTACCAATTTCACAGCTTATATGGCTAATTTTTGTCAAACCTGTCACTTGTGATTAGATGACAGCATTCAAAATTGTTTGCTGAGAACATGCATATTATTTCAGCTTGTTAAGTTCTAATGCAGTTTTCTTGAGTTACTAGACAGAATGAGCAAGGAACTGCCCATATTCTACATCAGATGTGTATGTAGAGTGGTAAAAAAAAATGAAAAAAAGTCCAGAGATGTGATTTAGCAATACAAGCAAGACTGATGTTTGCCCCGATATCAAATGAGTGTGGTCAGACTGTCATCTTAAGAAAAAAAATAGTAATTGGTATTATAGAACAACGTGTTTGATTCTCTTTACATTGCTGTCAGATAAGACCAACTTTAAACTGGACTCTGCATACAATACAATATTTTTGCAATAACTCAACCAAGTGAGATTTGAAAATGTTAGTGCTTGGACATGCTACAAATGAGACTTCATGAGCAACTTAGAGAAAAGGGAATGTTATACTTTGGTAAGGCTAGCAAATAACTGAAGGGACTGGATTAGATCACGCTTAAATCAGTGTAGATCAAGAAAAATCTATAAAGGTGGTTGCCAGTTACTTTTCACAGTGGTGGTGTTTTAAAAAATATTACCTATTCAGATTCTAACCAAATATTAGCATTCTGTTTGTATTCTGAGATGTGTGCTAGCGGCAGAACTGTCAAATATCTAAATATGCTTTTGGTGAGATTCAATTTATTTCTGCTTCAGAATGATTTGGCCTAGTTACTGTTTTAGTCTTCAGTTTTTAAATGTAAAAATAATTTATTTTAAATTGCAGTGTATTGAAGCTTTAGTCAGTTTTTTCCAGGCCATTTGTTAACTGCTTTCTTTCTTTGGAATAAGTATTATTGCTTGTAAGAAAATTTACTATTTCATTTAATGACCTGTTGGTATCTGCTTCAGTGTTCTTTTCATAATGGTAGATATGATGTTAAAGTGGTAGAGCACCTTGAACTGAAGCTTCTTCAGGATCTTCTGTTAAAAACTCTTTATTACTGAAAAAGAGTTTGGAGATTTTTTTTGCGTTTTAACTGTTGAGCACCATTCCAACAAAACTGTAGAGAAAAATACTTTGCTGTATTTATTTATTTATTACTTGACTGCAGCAACGTTACTTGCCATTAACACAACAGTCTGTAAGTGTTGCTATTTCTTTTATTTGGTTTTCCTTGCATTTTTTGTGGTTAGTGTGTGTACACTATTGAGTTATAACAATTGAGTTATACTCTACCTTCTTGGTCATTCGCCCCTTACACTTGGAATTTAAATCTGTATGGAAATAGATTGAGGAGTAGCTGTTTCAAAGTCAGTATAGTAAAAAAATTATAGTAGTGTGTGGTTCCTTTTGTTTCCTCTTGCTCGTTAAAATACCCTAAGTTGCTAAGTTTACAACTGGCCAACCAGAAGGGCCAGAGGGGAAAGACTGTTTGGTTTTGTGGAGTGTGTCAAGTTTTTCTCAAATAATGTTATGGCTCGAAAAGCAAAATTGAAGGGTCAAAAGTCGAGTTTCTACTTTGTCATTGAAACCAGTGTTAGAATACAATAGCTTGAACTTATTCTCCTGCTTTACAGACTTTCTGCAAAAAGTATAGAAATAAATTAGATAGTAAGTATAACTGAACTCAGTATAAAACTGTGGTATCCTGCAGCTTTATTTGCTCAACAGCCATCAAACTTCGATGGCTTCTTGGTCTTAACCATTCGCTATGTTATTTGTCTCCTTCAACTTGTACTCATTCTTGTTTAGTTATTTTTATTCATTGCACAAAAGGGGAAAAAGGGGAGCACTCCTGTCATGCAGTGTCATGCTTGCATTGATAACTGGTTTTGTTTGTTTCTTTAAAAAAAAAAAAGAAAAGAAAGAAAAAAGGACTAGCTTAAATTTAACAAGAATGTCCCTGAATACATTTTTTAATATACGTCTGGGCTTGATAACTTTCTTCTTTCAGGATAAATTTAAAACACGTTTAAAATATGTCTCTCTGCTCAGGGATTTATGGTGGATTATTGCAGACAGTGCTAAAAAAATTAAAAGAGCACAAGACAAGTTTACTAAATTAAAATTTTATTTTTTGAAAAACTGTTATTTGTATAAATTATCAGATTTGTAGGCTTTCCTTTTTGTAGAAATAATTGTTTATGTGCCAGATAAGAGAATTTCAATTTTGTTTTCAATAATAAAGCATTGATAACTAATACACTGTGCATTCCTTTATCTGTTAATCTAACAACACTTTTTAAAAAAAATTATTCTAATTTATTGAGTTATATTGAGTGGTTTACGTATGGGAAAACTCTATAGTGTAAGCAGAGTACATCCTGTCACAGCTGGCTTTCTTCTATACTCTATTGCTCTATATCTAAGCTGATATTTTCAAAATGGTTCTCTGGAAGCATTTTTTCATGTTTCTACTCACTAAATCTAGCCAAAGGGGTACGGTAACTATTATATTTGATTGTTATTTCTAAACTCTATGGGAATAAAAACTGACGAATAAGATACATTTATAAATTATTTTTATATTGACATCCAAACATGATGTCAGTAAAAATACTTCTGAAACGTGTAATTGGCTAAAAAAGCTGGAAAGAAGACTTCACTTAGGTACATGGTCTTTTTAGCATCTGAGATCACCTTTCTCTCGTGCTGCAATGTTCACATGATCAGCTTCAAATCTGCTGCCTTCCTGCACGGGAGATGTTATGAAGTAGCAGGATTCTTTGACCTTTTGGTTTTCTCTTAATCTTGTACGGAGAGGACCTTCTTAGCTCAGTGGACCTAACACTAATATTCTCATACCTTCCTAGTTCTGTTGCATTTAGGTTCCTATGCATTGACAGATTTACTCTACAGTTGAAAAACATTGATGGGCATGAGCAGAGCACTAGAGAGGTTTTGGGTCACTGACTTCCAAATTCAGCTGTCATGCCTTATTTTTATCAAAGGTCACGCCTCACCTTCAGACGTGGTCATTTGTTGCCTAAGTAGGTTTTACTGAAATGGCAGATGATGAATACTAAGTATGCAAAAAATAATCTGATCTGTTTCACTCCTTTCTCATGGAAATAGTCTAAACATGTGCTTGAACTCCTGCTCTGGCATCTTATCCCTAAACCCTTCTCTGAGATCCTGTCCTGTCTGCCTTGTGTTGTGCTTCTGATGTTTCTGTTCTTCCAAGCGTCACACTTTTCGGGCAGCAGATAGCTGATACATCTCCATTTCTGATGGAGGCGCACAGCAGCTCTGCGTCTTATACAGGCCCATCGGAACTTGCTCTCTGCAGCTGGCACAGATGGCTGTATTACTTCTGGGATTTGAACTAGTATAAAGGTAAGGCACTAAATTATTCTCTGTAAATATACCAGCTCATTTGGATCTGGCTTGGGACTCTTTGTTGTAGGCATTCCCATAGCAGCTTTGCTGACGGGTGAATGCAGGTAGCGTGAGAGAGACTTTGCCTCCAGTTCAAGTGTGAGAACAAGTCACTGACAGCTGAATTACTGTGTTTATTTTGCCGCATCCCTAAGGGTTGCAAAGGAGAGATTTTAGTGAGAGAATCTGGAGATTTAGAAATATAATGTGGGAAATCTAAAGAGAATTCCATATAACCACTTACCTTTTTGAAACTTCTGTTTCTGGTCCTCTGCAATAAAAGAGACCCCACTCAGGTGTTATATAGGCTCCCCCGTTTGGACTGAGCCAGCAATTTGAAAAGTCCCTGCCTTGCTTCACACGGATACTGAACATTTAATGTCCCTGAGATTCAGTAGTGTGACATTAGAAGAATGTGTTTGAAGGAATAGAATACATCTGATGTTGGACAGGGGGTGGGGAGGGAGGTGTCAGGGAGAGATGCAGACATTTTTCTGGAATTGAGTAAGTTTTAGAGGGACAGACTTTATTCCAACAACAAAGAAGGACCCCCAAGATCAAATTCTGCTAGGATAAACTATGGGAAAGGGTATGCATCAGTAAATTAAACAAACAAACAAAAACCAACCCAAAAGCAATACAGACTTGAAAAAAATTCCAAGTTCTTTTGGTATACTAATAAATCAAAACCAAACATTACCAGCCAGAAATGCTGGCCTTGGAAGACAGTATAATAGAGTTCAGGACATAATAATATATTCCCAATTGTCCTGGTTCCAGCTGGGGTAGTTAATTTTCTTCACAGTAGCTGGTCTGGGGCTGTGTTCTGGATTTGTGCTGGAAACAGCATTGGTAACCCAGGGATGTTTTCATTCTTGCTGAGCAGGGCTTACCCAGAGCCAAGGCCTTTTTTACCTCTCATCCCACCCCACCAGCGAGGAGCCTGGGGGGGCACAAGGAGTTGGGAGGGGGCACAGCCAGGACAGCTGACCCCAATGACCAACGGAGTATCCCATACCATTTGACGTCATGCTCAGCACATAAACTAGGGGCAAAGCTGGTTGGAGGGCTGCTGCTTGGGAACAGGCT